TACGGCTCGAATAACTTCATTCAGCCTGTTGTGCTGCTTGGACACGAGCTCCGTCTCACTCTTCAGCTGCATCAGAGGAGAATCAGCATCAGTCGGTAACTTTAGCTGCAACTAAGGTGTGTCTGCATCTCGTTGTGAACACGGGGACACTTCACATGGCTCCACACATCTGCACTTCTGTCACATCTTTTTAAATGCTGGGTTTGCCAGTGTGTTCCTATGGTAACCATGGTGATTCCTAAAACCTTACAGGGTCACATGAGCTGGATGCTCTATGGCTCCACATGCTTGAAACCACCAAACAAACATCCTGAGAAACAGCAGCAGGTGACGACATGTTTTCAGGGACTGAGTGAAGCACATGCTGATGCTGCTCAGCAGCAGCGTCTCACCTGAATGAGGTAACTCTCTGACCCCACCAAAGCCACCAGCCCGTTGACAGCAGCCAGCCGCTGCATGGTGGGACAGCCCTGTAAACAAAGGCAGCATGGAGGTCAGCGCTGGGACCCCAAACATCATTTCACGTGATTGGACATCGTTTACATGAACATGAACGTCAGGTTTTGTACCTCAGCCAGTAAGATTTTGATCCAGGCTGCGAGCAGGTGAGGGTGGATGTGCTCTGCTTTGCCGTGGCCGCACACCGACAGGCCGTGGACCGCTAACCCCAGAGCCAGGGAGAAGCCCGGGGTCTGGAGACACAGGGTCATCAATAAAACCACAAAGAGCTGCTGGAGCCAGAATGACCCCCATCAGCTACCTACTGACCTGCTGGCTCTCCTCAGTCAGGCTGCGCAGCGTGTCCATCACCTCCTCCGCCTTGGCGGCGTCAATAAGACCTGCGCTGAACGCTGAAACGCTCACGCACGCCACAGAGTACGCCAAGACCTGCAACAGCATCACTCTTCAAACTAGACAAAATCAAGAAAGTTCACAACACACACAAACACAACACCACACCCACCTGACCACTCAACAACCCACGACATCAGCACTATTCATGCACCTCAGCCACACATCACAGACCTACAGCTTACACTTTAGCGACACCAACACAAACTTTACCTGCTTTGTTGTTCAACAGGACACATCTGGGAAGGATCATGGAAAGTGAGATAATAAGCTCTTGTCAGTGAAAATACGAGGGGCGACTTAAGCCAGTTTTTGTTAACAACGCCTTGTCACCCGCGATCCTCCCTTCAATGCTTGGGCCTCTCTCCTCACGCGACGTCGCTGAACACTGACTCGTGTTCCGAGCGTCTTGGGGACCAGCGTCTAGTTGCTGTTTGCGCCTCTGTCCAAGCCCAAGAAGGACTGAAGATGCTAGGTTCGGATCTTAAGTCCACCACGTGTTGCTTAGTGTGCTCTACCAATAGATCGCTGCGCAGCACAACACGTGCTTCTGTACGAGCTCCAATATCCACTAACAGGCCAGCTGACAATAGGCTCGTGGTGTCCGCCAATGATGCAGCGATAAGCGTATACAGTAAACAACCCGATCATACAACGGCACTGCGACGCACCCATGTTAATAAAAGTGCCATGTTAGCCCGAGCACGATCGCTTGACAAAAGAATTTCATCCATGCAATTCAACCAAAGCTCATCTGTGTTACACTTTTTATTTGCTCTGGTCACGACGACACGTTTTTACAGCTTATACAAGCCGAATCTGTTCCAGTCGTACAGTAAAGATCATAAGATGCACCATTTTAGTGCTTCGAGGTCATAGGTCAAAGTTCACACATCACCATCAGGCTCAAAGTTTTAACTCTTCATGTAGCAGAAACTGTCTTTAGTAGATAATTCATCAAAGATCTGGACAGAACTAAGTACTATCTCAGCTTCTTCTATCACAAGCGTGTCTGAGCAGACAGGTACAATCAAAGACTTGATCCTGTATCAGATTCAGGACCTCGCTCTGTGTCGGCGTGCGAGCCGTGTGCAGGGTGCTTACCTCCTGCTCCATGCGTCCCCGCCCACTGCAGTCCTGCAGGTTGGCCAGCAGCTTGTCGAGCGTTAGGCTGACACGGACGTGTCGACTCCTCTGTCCACTGCTGCAGAAGGCAGACAGCACTAGCCCCAGACCCAGTATGCAGCCAGTGCTGAGGAAAGAAGGCAGAACATGAAGAGACCACGTTTAACATGCTAACCCCTGTTTCACTGCTGAATATCCTAACATGCTTCCAGATGTGTCTGTGAAAAAGAGTAAATGTGCCAAACGAGCAGCAGCATAAACCAACCGTGTGATGTCAGTGTGCATTTACTCTATTAATAAGAGGACCTACTTGTATTCCAGGTTGGGGTTGAAAGAGGAACTTTCCAGAGCATCCAGAGGGCCGAAGAGGAGATCAGCATCCTTCTGAGCAGACTCATCACTGACAGAGGACAGAGGCAGTCAGTAACCGTTACGCTGTTGGTTCACATCAGAATCTCCTCCTGCAGACTGTACCTGAGGCGCTGGTGCAGCAGGGTGGACAGCACCATGCCCAGACCGAGCCCGGAGTGGAACTGGATGGCCTGGGAGTCGTCTGCGGCGGGGGAGCCCGGGAGGCCGGCCCGCAGTGCCGACAGGATGTGGGTCAGACTGTCCCGCTGCCACACCACGAGCACGGAGACGAGGAGCGACAGGGCGAGGCTTGCACAGGAGCGCGCTATGGTGCTCGCTGTGTTCTCACCCGAGTAGGAGCGCTGAGGAGGCCGACGGCACAGGGTGAAGGTGATCAATGCAAGAAAGCAACTTTCTATTCACAACAACTGTCACAGCGTTTAAATAACTCGAATCATCTGCCAATCACGGCTTCTTATGTAAAAGCTGATGAAACTCACGTGTAGAAACCAGGGGAAGACTCGTCCTGTGGCCTTGAAGCTGCTGCTGCTGATGCTGAGCAGGGTGTCCAGCACCATGGTCAACCAGCTTCCTGTGGCCACAAACTCTGGTCCAGCCTATCAAGTCCAACAGCACTGAGCTGAGCATCTATAGGATTATGAAATAGCAAACAGTGTGTAACAGGACCCTGCGGTGTCTCACCCCCAGGCTGCCGTCACCATCAGTGGGCAGGTTGCTCTCATACTTGGCGAGAACAGCGGCGAGGCCGCTCAGAGCCAAGATGGCGTTTCCCTGAACAACAGGACTGTCCCTGAAACGATCCACAGAAAGTCATTTCACAGTGCTCGCATCAGGTTACTCTGCACAGCTCACCAAACGTTTCCTATGAAGCAGAGCGACCAGGGGACTCACTTTGTAGCAGCTTTGATGACATCTGCCAGCTGATCTCTGGCCCTGTGTCAGAAACATGAGAAAAATACATTACAAAGATGAAGAACGTGATGAAGAGGGTGACCAGTGTCTGTTAAAGCAGTGGTGCACATCAGCACTTTAGTCTATTTACAACCGTAACTCCCAAAACATCAGGACGGCGTCTCACATGTAAATGAAACAGGGTGATTTACAGATTAAATGTAACTGAGAAAAACCAACATTTAGGGGAAAACGAAGTGTGGAGAATGTAAGTGTGATGGTGTAGCGCTGAGACAGACGCCGTAGCATCTTTGTAACGGTCTGTAAATGTCTTCGACTGGACCTTGGGACAGTCCTCCTGTTCTTGTCCGAGCAGCTAAAATCCTGGATCAAAGTCCTCGGTCTTCTTTGGTGGATTGTTCATGTGCCTCTCATTTGCCCGGAGAATGCTTCCTCCATGCTTTCTAAACAAGTCTGCGCTCCAATTCATCCCACAGATGTTCTGCTGGGTCAAAGTCAGGACTCTTTGTAGGCCAGTCAGGTTCTTCCTGTGCACACGTTCATGTTGGGAGCAGGAAATCGTCCCAAATGTCTTTGTATTTGGAAGCATTAACAATTCCTCTCACCAGAACTAAGTAGCTGAGCCCAACCTCTAAAGAACAGCCGCACTATCATCCCTCCACCACCAAAGTCAGACCAGTATCAGTCTCCTGATAACTGCCCAACCAGACTCCTCCATCTGCGAGACGGAGAAGCGTGAACACGACATTTTACAACTATGCTTGTTGCATCCGATCACGACACCGTCCAGGAACTTCCTGAGCTCCTGACAGCGTCCCACAGACTTTATAACCTGTGACTGACATGCCTGAAAACCATGATTCACTCTCTTCATGGTCAGGAGGGAGAGCAGGTGGTCTACTGGTCAGGAGGTTGCTGGTTCAGAACCAGTTATTTTGGCTACATAGTGCAGATGTTACCACAAAGTGTTGATGTAAAGTTTGGCCCACACAGCAGGGATCACACACACACACACACACACACACACACACACACACTACAGTCATTACAGTAAGATCAGTGACCTTGTACAAAAGCACTACCATTTATACACACAGTCTACACATATACATGCAAGTCATGAGTGTGGGTCTCACCACAGCCAGGCACAGTGATGCTTGTACTGCAGCTCCTGTGGATCCTCTTTGCCTTGTTTCTGGAGCATCTCTAACTCAGCACGTCGACCCTGCCAACAAAACCAAACCCTGAGAGGCCTTTACTGTGAGGTCAGAGGCCTCTGAGGCCTTTACTGTGAGGTCAGAGGCCTCTGAGGCCTTTACTGTAAGGTCAGAGGCCTCTGAGACCTTTACTAAGGTAGAGGTCTGAGACCTTTACTGTAAGGTCAGAGACTTACTGTAAGGTCAGAGACCTTTACTGTAAGGTCAGAGACTTTACTGTAAGGTCAGAGGCCTCTGAGGCCTTTACTGTAAGGTCAGAGACTTTACTGTACGGTCAGAGACTTTACTGTAAGGTCAGAGGCCTCTGAGGCCTTTACTGTATGCTTTTGTAACACCTGCACAAACCTCCATAACGGCGTAGAAAGCTCGGCTCATGAAGCCCCTCCAGGCCTGTGGCAGCAGGAGGGCACGGTGCCACTCAGAGGGCTGGATGTTGACCTGTGCACCAAAATACAGAGGAAGGAAACAGTTCCTCTTTCAAGCTCTGCGTACACGACAAAGAACAAGCGTGAAAGCAATGGAAGGAGACATCACGTACTTCATGAACGAGGGCTGTCAGCGTCTGCTGGTAGCTGCGGCTGCGGCTGACCAGGAAGCGGCTGATGGGTCTCCCAGCACGATCGGTCTGCACAGACAAACTGTACGACAGGAGCAGCCCAGCTGCACCACAGACAGAAAGGCTGAGTTATACTGGTGCTTCCAACAGTAACGTGTTGGTACACAGACACACTGTTCAGCACGCGTGGGTTTGAGATCTCCACCATGTCCTGGCTTCATGAAAACCACACAGATTAAATCTGCAGATTATCTTCATGTTCCAAACCTCTCCTCAGAAAGACGTCCCTTCCTGTAGCTCCACATATTCTCCCTTCCTCACCAACTTAAGAAACATAACTTTGATATGCTGACTGACAGATCTGACCCATGTGAAAGGCAAAGCAGCTGACATGTTCATAGTCACATTCAACGACACCACACAGTCGATGTCACTGAGACCAGCTAAATGAGCTGTTACTGGGTCACCTGCTAGTCCTGGCTTCAGCCCAGGCTGCTTGTTTTTCTCGTAGGTCTTGAGCATGAACGACGGGATTCCTGCCACCGTTTTACCCCGGTCTGAGCGGAGGTTACCCCCCCTCAGGGCTGAGAAGTAGATTCCCCGTGGCATCTGACTCATCTCCTGCCTCACCAGTGACGTCAGGAAGAGCTCGAAGGCTGGGAACATAAAAGAAACACCATCAGTGCACCATCATCAGCATTACTCAGGATCACATGCAGATGTGACAGATCCACGATCTCTCCAGGGAACCAGCAGGAAACACCAAACACCTGGTGTCTGTTTCTGTGCAGGTATGCTCAAACAGCTCAAACAGCTGTGATGTGGATGGTTGTGAACAGTTGTGCTAAACAAAATGTTTTAAATCATGTAGCATACACGTGTTCCTAAAGTATCTTAGCGGTCCCAGGACTGCACTCTCCTGGATCCTGCTTTCAGGGTTACAGCCTCTAACGCTCCTGCTGCCACTAAGACCACTTTGTTCTTGACCTCTCCAGTCCCTGCTACTCTGGAAGCTGAAGCACCCCCGGCCCTTAGCCCTACTACCGGGTCGACGGGGCTTCTAGTCCATATGTGGCGCGGCTGTTTCTATACACTACAGCTTCCTGGTTGTGCTTTGAGTTTATGCTATCCCAGCTTGCATCTTACATCCTGCTACTACGTGGTGGAAAATGTCCGTAGCACCTTTGCACAGTCTGCAGCCGTGGTAGACTCCCTCCTACCACAGCTCTAAGGATCTGGATCTTTCTACCAGTCATCTGGCTTCTCAGCATCTGTTTTAGCATCTGCAAGGACTTGGCTCTGACTGATCTTCATCCTGCTGGCCTCACCAGGTGGATCTCACTGACTCCTCCCACACAGCTTGATGTCATCCATCTACAGGATGACATTTGATGACATCACCTCTTAGTGATGAGGCTTTGGGGATTGAAGCCTGTGCAGACAGAAGCAGGGACGTTGCCTTTGTACACTGCACACTCCAGTACTGTCTTCCACAGGTCCTGATGAATATTATCAGTGCGCTGAAGCACAGTAACAAGCAGGTCAGTGTGCATGAGTGGGGCATGGAGTCAGGCTGGTCTGCCTAGTCTCAAGTATTTTTATACTGTCAGAATGACATGATAGCAACGAACCAGGAGCCTGAGCTTGTGTTGTCTCTAATGCCTTTCAGAGTGGTGCACTGGCTCATGTGCCTCCACAGCTTCACAGAGCAGCTCCTGTGTTGTGGAGAGGCGAGTAATCGGGCCGTGGTTTGATGGTTCTGTCCTGTGTTCGTGCCTTTAGCATTCCCCATATCTATAGACCGCTGATCACCGAACGCTTCTTCCAACAGTAGACGTGGATTATGTCGGGTCCCGCTGTGGTCCCCAGACTCATTGTTGGATGTCTGCTTTGTGATGTCGACTGCCTCTTGCTCTCTCTCGTGTGCTGGATGGATCTCTAGAAGCACTTTATTCTGTCGGGACCACAGGATACAACCTGTTGGTTTGTTGGCTGCTCCGGTTTACCTGGAAGAACAGACGAGGTGGTGAGAGTCATCAGCTTCACATAAGATGAGCCTGGGACGGAGAGATCCTTCTCCTCTTCCTCCTTTTCTTTACTCTGTTCATCTTCTTCGTTTTCAGGCAGCTTTGCAGGTGGTCGGGCCTTCAACCAAAGAGAAGAGCAGAGCAGGACGATTCAAACAGAGAGCTGACACACGGCGGCGTACAGGAATGTTTCTGAACACGCTAAAACAACTGAAACAGCTTCCTCATTAACTAGTGCCGCATAAGTACATCTGACTAACGTCTGAGGACAATTAATAACGAAACATTGCAAAATGATCTGGCTAATATGTTAGAAAGCACGAGTCAGACAACAACAGAACTGTTATGATGTTGTTATGAGAGTGGAGCAGGACTCTTAACTGCCTCAGGAAGGTGGTTTATGGTGTGGTCTGTTTCAGGAAAGTCTGCCAAAGCCCTGTAGCCACAGCTGGACACCTCTGGATCCTGTTACAACACAAAGGTGCAGACACATGTTTCTGTCTCCTACAAAATGATGAAACTTATGCAACATCACAGCATGTTTGTGCATGTAGGAGTCATCATGTCAGCTGTGTGTGTAGATACAGTATATACAGACCTCGCTCAGAGCATAAGTCCACAGAATGCTGACCACCTCTTCTTTTAATTTCTAAGAGCAGAGACAAAAAATAAGAAGTGAATTTAATGCGCACACACACACACACACACACACACACACACACACACACACACACACACACACACAGCAGTAGAATCAAGAGTTTTCCAACCCTTTTCTTATGTTTTCTGCAGACTTTCATTCAGCCAAATCACTGCACTGACCTAAAGCACGATCTGCACGACATTTCCTTTAAACACAGTGAAGGTGGACGCTGCTCTTAATATACACGAAACCCAGAGTTAGCTTTCATGTATATGAAAGAGTTGCTGCTGTGCTCTGGATCTTTGGCATTTTGCATTAACCGATTTTCACTAAGCTTAAGTTCACACAGCAGAGAAGTTTGTGTCTGACTCAGTGACTGCAAGGTGCTGCGCAGGTCCTGTGGCTGCAACCCAAAAGCATCCCTATCAGCCGTCCTGTGCTAATATGCCATGTTTGGCCTTTGGTCTTGTGTTTGTTTAGATGCAACTTTGCAAACCTAAGCTGTTCTGCCATATCATTGTTAGAGAGGAGGAGAGCTTTCCAACAAGCAGCACTGCATGGTCTAGGACTCATCTGCTGGGACGGCCACTGCTGCACTGTGTTGAATCCTCCAGAGCAACAAATTACCAAAACTTCTGTTTTTAAAAAGATGCTCACACTCGCTGATCCATTTGTTAGTTACTGTGAAGTCCGACCACAGCAGGACTCTGAGGACTGGACCCTCACACGTCTGTACTTTGTGCTTCTACCCAGCTTTACATTGATGTGCTAACTTTAGCTACCAAACACAGTGATGTAGAGATGTGACTCTACAGTGAGGTTATACAAACAGCTGGTGAGAGTCCTGTTTACAGACAGAACCACAGAGAAAAACATAACCTGGTGGAGTTCCTGTGTCGCTCTGTTAGCTCCTCAACACAGAGCAACATGAACGTTACGACGCACCTCGTACTGCTCTGATTTAACTGTGAGCTGAGGCACCAGAGCCAAAAGCTCAGCGATGGCTTGAACCACCTCTGGCTGTGAGTGACAGCTGAGCTCAGGCCAAACAGTTCTCCATGCTGAGATAATATCCACCACCTGAGAAAGAAAGATTTGTTTTAAGACCAGAACTTTGGAAAAGATTCAAAAGTTATGATCCAGAAAAATGATGATTCCTGAATTTAAAGAGACAAATGGAGACAGGCGAGGTACCTCTGCTCGACACAGCTGCTGTAGTCCCTGCAGGACGAGAGCAGCCGGGGTTGCCAGGTCTGGTCTGTTGCACTGTTTTAAAGTGAGTGAAATGGCAGCCACCATGTCCCCTGCATGCTGGTAAGGCCTGGTTAACACACACATCAGCGTGAACAAAGTGGGAAATGTGTTTCTTCTCATTTTGTTACCATTTTTATTTAAGAAAAAAGCATTAAAAGTGCCAGGACACGTGTAAGTAAGTAAATGCCAAACACAGCTTCTTATCATTGCAAACTCTTCTGGCTGCAAATGTTTTACAATAAAAGCAAACGTAAGCATTTGTGAAAACAACGAAACAGCTCAATGATTTGCTAAATTTGTACTGTAGCATCCATCCAGAGGGTTTCCCAGGTTTTCACTAATGCTGCTAAAAAAGCTGCATGTACATGTTAGCAGGTGTAACAGGCCCCGGGAGGATGGACAGTGTGCACCAGCTGGTTAGAACAAAGGAAATAATCAAATAAAATCATCGTTTTATTTCATCAACACAC